TTTTATCACTGTTTTCATGAAATAAACCTTCTTCCAAATCCAGTCCTCATAATCGAGTACCACTTGGTTGCACATCATTCTGCTTAAACCTGAAACGATATAAAAGAGCGCTGCTGTTGATCCAACTTCTGTGCAAAAAGTTACTAATCTTTTACTTTAGACCAAGTTCTCCGTGCCAATCCTACAGGCGTAAATATAGGCTTGGAGGTCTGCGCGGAGCTCTAAGCCAACAGTAAAATATAACAATTTTTCGCACAGAAATCGAATCGATTGCAACATGCGAATCGATCTCCGACAAATTTTTTTTCTTCTTTGGTTTGTTTTTCCGTCGATCTTGTTTTCCGTGCTGAGCACCAATGCTACCGACGCCAGTGGACGCAGCTCCCATATATGAACCCTGCCTATCGACCGATCAAATCATGAACCGGGGACCAACGGCTTTACTTCCCGAAGGCGTGATCAGAGATGTTATGGCTCAGAACATCCGGGAGGCGCTGACTGCTATTGAACCCAGGCCTGCTGGGGTGAGAGGTAATCACGCTTACCAATACACCACCGGCGCCGCTCATCCGGCAAAGTTGTTCTGCATAGTTTTCCCAATCTAAGTATCAAGTTTGGTCAAAATTTAGAAATTTTTGAATTTTTGACATGCAGCTGAACAGTTTCGATCCGTTTCCCATACATTTTCTCATATACAAACTTTAAAGTTCTTCCGCAAATCCGGATCGTAACTAATTTCCGAGGGGGACGACTCTATCTACGATGCAGGAAATATTGTGTTTTGCTGTGGCTAGCTGCACGTACGCTGAGCAGATAGAAAGAAGATTTATCACGATTTTGAAGATATCCTGCAAAAAGACGATGCGCGATGGAAGTAGATGCGAGAAATGAGAGATGATTTTTCGAAGATTTATTCGCTAGTGTGAGATTTTTTGAGCATCTAGAATTGAGCCCCCCTTTGCTAAATTCGTTCAAATTTAGCACAGTTTCTAAGGACAGCAATACAAATCAAAAGAACAGCGGGATCACCCACCCTAGTGTCCAATCTCCACTATTGCATTGTAAAACTCAAGACAGGATTGATTTTCGAATCTTTATCGCTAATAAAGACGCAATAATGACAAATTGTCATTCCGATTGATGCGTGTGGGTTTTAAACTGATTGAAATATAAATGAAGATGCCTCGGGTAAGTCAACACCAATGTCCAAACTACCCCGAATTGATGTCTCATTTCTGGTACGAGTGCGGTACAAAACTGCTGTTTCATCTGAAGCGTGAATAAATCTCACCCCAAATCGCTCCAATTGGATGATATCATCAAATCAGATTTGAAAGTAAAACACTCTTGTTCGATTGGTTTGCTGATTGCGGTCGGCCACTGATGAGAGGATCATCGGCACCGACACGGCCCGTTGGCCGAGCCGAGCCGCACGTAATCCGAGTGGCTGTTTAATTAGCGTTTTAAAGCTTACGAAGTAATTAAAGTGGGTTTAATGTAAATATTAGCTTTACTGCTGCTGCGGCAGGTATTTCACCCCTGATTTATGGTCGCCTCCTGGCACTGTGTCGGCATGTTGTGTTCGTTTGACTTGAAGTAAGTCTAAGTACTTCCCAAAGCGCAGCGGGGATCACTCGTCGAACGCTGATGTTGCCATGGGGTTGCTGCGCCGAGGTAATAAGATCGATAGCTTTTCCTGAGCAGGTTAGTTTTTCTACCTGTTTCGTTGATTGCAAACTTGATGATTGAGAGCCATAGGGAAGATTCCTAGTTCTCACAAGCAACGCAAAAACCACATTGAACGATTTTAACATCTAGTTAGATCCTTATCTCATAGCTCATAGCAAAATTTAATCCCGACTTGAGCTGATCAAATGCAGTGCCGATTTGCTTTCCAGTCATCAGAACAGTCAAAGCTACCGTCCGAATTCCTTCACATCATCCACGTGAAAGCAAATCTTCTATTCAAATTAGCTTGATCGAAATATAATTTGTTGCTGATTTTTACCTCCTATCTGACCGATTCGATCGCACATATCAATCTCCTCTGGCCCGCTATCTTCATCCCGCTCTAGCTCTTAAGAAGTAATGGTCGGCTCTCACAAGACTCTAATCGCCTAAAAGTCGAAAATGCGTCCAAATCCGTGGGCAAATTTGTCATTCACACTGAACTTTCGGAAAGAAACAACAACAACTTAAAACCGGAATAAATACCCCAAGACAAATGAGATCGAAGGCGACGCCGAAACGCCTCCCGCCGGACAAATTGATCTGTTTCGCCTATCTTAAATCTTTTCCTACATCAATTAACTCTTTGGGACCCACTGAGTCGATAAGTTCGATCGAGGAGTTGTTTATCTAGTATCACTCGCTTTCTTTTTTTTTTTTTTGTCCTTGGGTACCAATCTCAGATGTATGGTATACGGCATACGTTAAAGATCGTGGGCATGTAATTATTACGAAATAACTATTTGTTAGGAAATCGATTCGCAGGACTGTTTGTCATAAATATGTCATACTTGGTGCATAATTTTGTTGAATTTTATTAGTTATTTATGGCTTGTTCTATTTATGATTCAATTAGTGATTTATGTGCATTCGGTATGTTCTTGTACTTGCTTTTGCTGTAAGTTGCTGTAAGAACCTCCGCCATTTTATGTGCATGTCGCTGTTGTAGATTGAATTGAAGTTTTGTAGACAAAAATAGGAAAATATGTTGAGCCACATACCAACGTAGTATTAGGTTTTGTTTTGAGGGTGGCGGACCTTGATTGGTATTTTTGTTCATTTCATTGACATTTCTTGTCCAATTTTAGTTCTCTTTGCAGTAGTTGAAAGATCCGTTGCCTTCAAAGTTCATCACAAGAAAAAATTCTGCGAGTAGTAACGTATTTATTTATTCATATCTTTTTGTTAGTATTACAAGATTGCTTTTTAAGTGATACAGTTTAACCTTTTTCATCCTTAAATTCCTATTAATTTTACATCAATGATGTACATTTTTGTGTTTCATGTAGAATTATTTGTGCTTTTTTTATTTGATAATGATAATTGAATATCGTTTAATTTGATAACCTACTTAACATAATATTTGATAACCTAGTTTACCAGCGCTCTAATGAGCGTGTGCACGTAGTATGTAGCACCCTGGATGAAATTATCGATCGAGTCTTCGATGCGTTCCTGAATCGTCTTGCACCCTGCGGTAAGATGCAGCTCGCTTATCCTCGTGTCCAACGGGGCATCCAGGATAGACCTCAGCAGCCGGTTTTGGACCACTTGCAGCTTCTTCTTGTGGGTCTCAGCACACGTACCCCACACCGGCATAGCATAATTGACTACCGGAGCGATAATCACATTGTATACTGCCAATTTGTTCCGTTGCGACAGCCGGGCTCGTCGGGATATCAACGGGTACAACGATTTCAGTAGCCCAATACACCTGTTTTTAAGCTTGTCGGTGTGGGCACGATAGAGTCGCTTGTCGTCGATGGTAACACCAAGGTAGTTAGCTTCATTTGACCAGTCAACGGGGCTGCTGTTCACTCGGACGAAGCAGTCCGCTGGAGGTAGTAGATTAGGTGATGGTCGATGTCGGAAGAGGATGGCTTGACTCTTGGTTTCGTTCACTTTGATTTTCCAGCTGGTCAGGTACGAGACGTACGCCGTTACACCTTGTTGAAGCCGTGACCGGTAGTGCATGGGAGTCCGACCGTTGGCCATGATGGCACTGTCATCTACGTACAGCGCCAGGCTGCAGCCAGCAGGGAGTTGTGGAACGTCGAAGGTGTAAATGTTATATAGGATGGGGCCGATGAGGCTGCCTTGAAGCACACCCACTGGAACCTCGTGGAGCTCTGAGGTTGCACTTGAAAGATGTACTCGAAACGTTCGATTTCTCAAATAGTTTCTTACCATTCTCGTGAGATATTTTGGTAAGTTCGCCTGCCCCATCTTATGGACAAGTCCATCGTGTACCACACGTTGTCGAAGGTCTTTTCCTCATCCAGGATTACTATGGCTATGTTGTTAGAGAGTGACTTGTTCCGCTGAATGGTGTTCTCCACTCGGACTAGTTGATGGACGGTACAATGCCCCTTCCGAAAGCCGAATTGCTCCGGTATGATGACGTGGTGTTCCTCGACGTGTTCCATCAGATGCTGGAGAATAAGCCGTTCGAATATTTTGCTGACTGCTGATAGCAGCGTGGGCCTGTAGCATGATGGAGCAGTTGGATCCTTTCCAGGTTTAGGAATAGGGATGACTTTCCCTGTCTTCATCTGGCCAGGAAGTAGCTTTGCTAGAAGCATCGATTAAATATTACACCCAGGAATCGGAATGCTTTGCTGGAGAGCTTCTTCAGAACCAGATTGAAGATAGCGTCGTTGCCGGGGGCCTTCATATTCTTGCCGCCCATCACTGCTGCACGTACATCATTTTCGGTCACTTGACCGACGAACTGAGCATCGTCGACTTGCTCGTCAAGGTGGTTGATTGCACTGTATCTTCGTGGGGACTCACCATGCCTGCACCGATGTTGTGTGCTTCGATGAGTATGTTGGCGATAGCGTTGGCCTTCTCCGATGGGGACACCGATATGCCTCCGGCGTCGTCTTTCAGTGGAGGAACTACTGTTGGCCTTTTCTTCATGATTTTGGCCACCTTCCAGAACGACCTCGAGTAGTCGCGTTGCTGGATTACCTGCCGGGTGTAGGTATCAATCATGGTGAATTGTCGCCTCACCGGTACCCAGCGGATGCTAGCTTCTTCTGCAGTGTGCACGATTTCCTCGAATACTTCCAGTTTGTTGTCGATGGCTTCGATGGATGGCAGATCCATATTTTCGGGAAGTCGTGAGTCAGCCAGGCGTCTGAAAACTACCCAGTTGGTCCGATGGTAATCTCGTCTCGTCTGCATGGATTCGTCGCTTAATCAACAACTGTCACCATCGCGAAGAAAGACGCAATGGGTATCTCAGTCACGCTGAACTCCAAGAAGCTATGCTATCACTAGTCCGTTTGTCACAGAGGGAATCGTTTCCGGAGGAGATTTCTGCACTTCAGAGCGGAAATCAAGTCAAGCCGTCGTCATCGATCAACAGACTCACACCAATTCTCGTTGATGGGGTACTGTACGTAGGTGGTCGGCTATCTAAGGCACCTATTCCAGCGAGTCGCAAGCATCCAGCGATTCTCAGCTATCATCATCCCCTGAGCAAACTAGTAGTCATACACTACCACCAGAAATTGTTCCACGCTGGGCAACAGCTTCTCATAAGTAGAGTACGGGAGAAGTACTGGCCCACACAGATCAGAAGATTAGCCAACACCGTGCCGTGCTTCCGATGTAGACCAAAAGTGTTGGATCAGCTGATGGCAGATTTGCCGTCGGAACGAGTTACACCCGCGCCACCGTTCCTGAAAGTTGGTGTCGATTACTGTGGACCTTTTCCAATCTTCATCTGCTTGGTCACGAAGGCTGTTCATCTGGAGCTGGTGGGAGATTTAACAAGCGAAGCCTTCCTCGCAGCATTCAAGCGTTTCGTCGCACGAAGTGGCAAACCAACCCTGGTAATGTGTGACAACGCTCTCAACTTCGTCGGAGCAAGGCGTAAACTCGACGAACTACACGAACTATTCCGTAACCAGCAGTTCCAGCAGTCGATCGTAAATGAAGCTGAAGAAGACGAGATAGAATTTCGATTCATCCCAGCACGTTCGCCCAATTTCGGTGGCCTTTGGGAAGCTGCCGTAAAATCCTTCAAAAGCCACTTCAAACGCACCATAAGATCCAGAACGTTATTGCACGACGAAATGCAAACGGTGATAGTTCAAGTGGAAGCGATCCTCAACTCCCGTCCGTTGACGCCGATCAGCAATGACCCAACAGATTTCGAAGCATTGACGCCTGGTCATTTTCTCGTTCAGCGACCGCTAACAGCTGTTCCAGAGCCGGACCTCAGTCACATCCCAGAGAATCGTCTTTCACTGTGGCAAAAATCGCAAGACTTCGTGCAGCAGATATGGTCCTCGCAATACCTGTCCGATCTCCATAACCGAACCAAGTGGACTCGTCGGCGCAATAACATCTCCGGTGATACAATGGTTCTCGTGAAAGAGGATAATCTTCCACCGATGAAATGGAAGTTGGGACGAGTAGTAGAGGTTCACGCGGGTTCCGATGGGAATATCCGTGTAGTGACCGTGAGAACGAAGGACGGTCTTTTCCGGAGAGCTATCTCGATGATTTGCGTCCTTCCCATTCGGAACAATCAAGCTGTGCCCACTTCTGAGGAGAATTGAAACTCCTTCGCTTCAGCGCTTCGGCGCGCTTCCGTTCACTATTCGAACAACTCGGGATCCACAAACCAGTTCAACCAGTCCAGTTATCAGTAATGTCGTCCAGTCAGTCAAGCATGTTAAACGTCCATAATGATGTCCTGTCCAGGCCTGAAATAAATATCAGTATCGTCCTGTAAAGCCAGGCACAACCGTGTCAGTATGTCCAAAACCAGTTACTGTCCAAAATCATTCTGTCGTCGTAGAAGTAGAGAATCGGTGTGTACAACCAATCCAACGAAGGGAGCAATCCATTGCACTCTCCTTATCAGCGCAACATCCAATACCATCAACGGGTTTGGCCAATCCGTACCGGTGGTTCTTCAACGCTGAAGTCGATGTCGTCACACCATTCTGCTAACCATTCTACTGGCATAGAGTATTGTAGTATATAAGACATGCAAGAGAAATAAAATTATAAAATAAATAAATGTAGTCACACCTTTTCATAATTATTTATTTAATTAAGACTGCAATAAAAAAAATAGACATCCCTATTGAAGATGCCACTAATGAACGGAGCATAACAGTACGGAGGGGCATGCATTCACCAGCGCAGATGTAAATGTGTATAGCTATGTGTGGCAATTATGGAAACAGTTAGAGGCTTGGTAAACTAATCGAGAGAAAAGCAAGATTGAGTGGATGATTGTGTGAGTGACAGCGGTGACAGTGTATCACGAATAGAGTTCTCCAGATGCACAAAAGTGTGCGTGAGACCGCACGCTACATTTTAAGTAGTTGTGATATCGCGATAACTTTTGGTTCTTCTTCTTCTTCATTTTTATAAATGGATAAATGGATTAGTGTTCGTGAGATTGCACATGGAGATCTCTATGGGAATGTTACCTGTGTGCAAGCTTTTGGTGAATGTTGTCGGTGATAGGCGTATGTTTTGAAATTTGGAAGACAGAGATTCAAGAGACATTGACGGAAGAACACTGTGACTGCTCGTGTGACTGTGTGAAATGTTGTGGAAAGGTCACGACAAGTATCACGATGATCAACGAAGATCGTCGCCATCGGTGCTGTAGGCGCTCGCGGAGGCCCGGAGGCCTCCGCGTCAAGCAAGTTAATTTGTATTTCTGTAATTCAGTTGAAAAAGGCCCCTCTCATTTTGTAGGGCAATCAGGCACTCGTGGAGGCCAGGAGGCTCCCGAGTCAGGCATCGTGGACATCCCGGCATTCCGAAGTCATCCGTCATTCCGTGTGATACCCCAAGACGCAACAACATCAGTCGCTGGTAGTTGAGCCAGGAAGCAAGGAATCAAGATTCGTGGAATCAACCGGAGATGAACAGAGTGGTGCTCCTCCAATCGGACGGGTCGGAAACGTCACTCCTAGGATTCATGCATCAAGGCAACCGAAGAAACCATATCTACCGAAAAAGGATGCCGGCAACTGAGCAGTTTTCCTAGGTAAATAAAAATGGTATATGTCCTACCGTAGCCAGGACTAGAAATACTGCACCCTAATTGTTTCTCCAACACTTCTATGGTATGCGGCATGACGTCAACACAACAGCATCCGAGCGCATCGTCAGCAGTGTCAGCAGAGCAACGTCCTTCAACGTGAAAAATGTGTTTTAGATATAGAAATATGTATAGATTTAGTTAGGAACAGTAGAAGTAATTTGTCGAAATTAACATTTCAAGGTGGCCGGTATATTGGCACAAAATAAGAAGTTGGTCACCCTACACTAAATCGTTATATAGCTACACACTATCTCAGTTATTAACATTCTTATTACACACTTCACACAGCAATAGGCACTCACTCTCTATTTCTCACATGTACACGATCGCAAGCAACAGATAGGAGAAGATTACCGATCAGTATTCAGTAGTTATAAATCATCCGCGCGCGCAGGAGCACTCTATCCGTCTATCGAAAGGCAAACAAATAAACAGTGTCCGAACAGTTGGGTATTTATTTGACCACAATAAAAGTGTTTTTATGTTTATAATCGTCGCGTGTGCATTCCACAAAGGTACCGAAATCCGTCCGGTGATACAGTCCACCCCAGTGTCGAACACCCGATGTCCTTGAAACGATCAGAACGATCTTGAGAAACTGCTGATACTTTCATGGTCTGACTGTGGCTACGAGATCTTTGAAATTCCTCTTCATTTGATTTCTCTATTTCACGGTCGCGTACAAGGTCAATAAGGTCTTGCATTGAACCTTGCTTTACGCAGTTACGGTGCGCTAGTACTCGTACTAACGCGTATCTTGCATTCTCATCACGGCTGCCATTTCTGAATGTGACCCGTACTTACTCAATTTTGCTGCTGATTCAAAACTGATGCTGCTAGCCGTGAGTTTTCCACGTTGAGATGTAATTCCTGGATCCGTAGTGTTCATTGAGGCGAGCCATAGCATTCGAAAACGGTTTCGTCTCCTCATCAGGCATTCCTGGGACAGAAGATGTTGCTTGAAATAGTTTACGTAGTTTTGGTCCTGATTTTATCTTGAACACACCAAATTTGGTTTCTTCATCGACCAGCGTTAATAAGCTGAAGAGAAGAAACAAGGATGTCCTTCCAATATTTAAACGCCTGTTCGTCTATATCCGCTTTACCAGATCACGGAACACACCCCAATGCCCAATGTTCAGTTGCTGTGCTAGAGCTAGCCTGATGAAATCCACTTCCGAATCCCTGATCCGTGGAAAGTCGTGCTATTTGTTCTCGCAAAGTATTGTTCTTTTTAATGGTCTCCGTCATTCCTTTCAAAATACGTTTTTTTTTTAATCTTGGTACCGTAAAACGGGGTATAGTTTTTATATAGTATGTGTATCATATTTTACAAACATATTAAAAAACAATTTTCGTGTTTTTTCGCCTATTTGAAAAAGCACTCAAACCATCACTTATGAAATGTATTTCTTATATAGCCATAACAAATTCAATGTTGCATTCTTATTGCTTATGAGGTTTTTTGATTATAAACTCATTCAAAGTTTCATATTTAAAGAACTAAATTGTTTGGGTTTCATCCATTTTTTTTCTACATTTATCGAGCATTATCATAGTAAGTTACTATTAGTAACCCCAAATCAAAATACTGAAGTTCGGTCACAAAACTAAAAAAAAAAGTGTAAATGCTTTAATTTCCGTTAAACATATTACTAACGAATTAACTCTTGGATCCTCAGTACTTGTTTTAAAAATATAAAATTTGAAAAACATTCATTGCTGTAAAAAATATTTCGAAAATACTTTAAAAAACTATCAATGTTACCCCGTTTTACGGTACAACAAAAAAATTGAAAAAAATCCTCTATAATTAACTAATTTCTAAACCCATTATTCTGCAAAACTTTGCCTTTCTGCATCAGAGTTTGTATTTTTTTTTGCACTCCATATTTTAGGGGCTGTTCATTTACTACGTAGACAGTTTACAGACTCCTACTTAGCCTGTCACACAAAATTATCTATTTATTATCACAGCACAACTCAACAGAAACACTACTTTGTTCGCCATACATACTTTGAGCCTCACTCACGAGTCTGAAAATGGTTAGAAATCGAACTGGAGGGTGGCTGCCATTAAATCTAAAATGAGGCACCCTAATGATGCTCACACTTGTTTGAGATGTAGGTTTTATCAACTTCCAAATTTTTTTTCAAATATTCAGACATCCTAAATGAACTCGAAACCCAAATTTGGACTAGCGGTGTTCAGTCTAGAAGCCATATATGTACTATTTAAAAAATCAGGTAATTATAAAGTTATTCTAGATCTTGAACTTAATGTAAAAGTTATTCTACTAGGAGAAGAGGAGATGAAAAATTGCCATCCACGAAATATGCTATTTTAATTGTACCTCAAAAGCTCATCATTATGACTGCCAATGAGTATCTCTTCTGGTATTATCTTCGGCGATACAGTTTACAGTTTAGATGTGTGACCGTTTTCATAGCATAAACTTAATCATCAACTCATATATTTTGCAGTTGAATCTCCAATGCCTTCCTGTTAGTTTTTTTATCCACATAGACGATCACCATACAATGTATAATCAGTCCAACATCAAATGCAATAAATTTACCAACCTACCGTCCCCCGTAGGACGCACATAAATACAGGATGCAGTTTAACAGGTAGTGGAATGCTTATTCAACGCCTTGGTCGAGCGATTAATTATTCATCCGAAGACCACGCGTGGCACTGACTGGAAGCTTTGTTTCCTATTATGCACCCTAGTATTTCCTAGGCGACCGAAACCATAACTTTTCTCCAGAGATCTCAACATCTGCAGCACGGCCACAAAGGGGCCAACCCCTTTCACAGCACGTAACCAGAGTGGCACGCTATCTCCAGTCCGATCGCGACGCCACAAATTGAAATTGATTTTTAATTACTACTAATTAAATCCGCACTGATCGATAAAATATGAAATATTATGCAAATTAACGCAGAGGCTCGCACACTCAGCCAGGTACGTAAACTTCAAAGCTCGGGGGCGTACATATGCAATCAACAACGTATGAACTAACTGTTCGTGGTTTTCGTTGGATCGCTCCGTTGAAAAAAAAAAACATTCAATTGGTAGACATGAACGTGTTCGCCTCATTTTACTAGTTGGAAAATGTTTAAATCACTAGGCAAATCTTGAAACTCGTGTTTTGTCTAACGAGTAACGAGGAGTTAGGATAGTGTCAATAATCCAATATCAGTTGCATTTTCGCTCTTTTAAAAAGCAGCTGCAGTAGACGAATGCTTCATTTTTCCTATATTTACTATAAACATGGATCATATGTGAGTTATGGTTTTCTTTTTCTCATTAAAGTCCTTCTACGATTTCAAGCTATATTGCTACCGCTTAGCAGATCGATGGGATCCGACTGAGATTCTATGCTCTTAACTCAGCTTTATCAAGGTACAGTGCATGAAGATAACGATCAAAATGACGTTTTGTCGCGATTTTCTCCATGGCCCAATAATAAAAAACCGCCGCT